CCTTCACAAGTATGATAATCTCCCAACAAACCGTACCTATCACACTTGTTCCTCAACTGAACGGTCACATTGAATCCGGTGGAAGTCGTCACGACGATCGGCATGCGATTCCATTCATTGTCAGCCGATGGGCGGTGGTGTTCGATGGCGAGGATGGCTGGAAAAAAGCGAATCCTGACAATTTGATGCTTTTCTATGTAAGGACCATTGAGGTGAATAGATAAGACAGGAGTAGAGTTAAGAAGGGCGTCGTAGAGATCTATCATTTGATATCAAACCCCCCATCCGACCGGACCGGCCCGTTTGCAACTATGGCTGAAAGTTTTGCCTGAAAAATTGTTCATCGGGCTCCGAACGTTTGAATCCTTACAACTCCCCCTGGTGGTCCCCCTTTGATATGCAAATCACTCCGCCTATCTGATCATAAACATATATACATATGAATAATTTCTCTCCCCCTTCGCAAAGGAGGCTTCCTTATCCCCCACTGTCATATAAAACAATAGAAAACGTTCGCTATTTTAGGTGGAGCATGCATCTCAATGGACGACCGAACGATTCAGTGCAAGTGTCGCGCCGGATTCACTGGAAAATTCTGCGAGTACGGAACGCATGGGGACTGCTCGACGCTGAAATGCACGTCGCCAACTGCCACGTGTCATATGAGTGGAGACCTGCCGATTTGTGTGGAGAGTAATGAAGACGTGGTGACGACGACACCAACGATGAAAAGTGTGAAGGTGTTGACGAAGAAGAGAAGAATGGAGCAGGAAGCAGCACCGATTGAGCAAGATCCACTTTTACTGATTTCGCTGCTTCTTCGTGAGTCTTTTTTTTTCCTGAAATTCCTCGGTCCAGACCGCGGTCGGTCGACCGCGTTAGGTTCCAAAACGTTCTCCTGGAAACTTCACACGTTTCTGTCCAACGTTCAACTTTCTAGCTTTTCTAGGAGCTGAGATACAGCGATTTGAAGTTTGGGAGGTGAGAGACGCAGCGTGTCTCGTTGTCTGCGTCTCTAGCCCCTGTATCTCCTGCCTCCAAAACTTCAAATTATCATATCTCGGCTCCTAGATGAGCTTGAACGCTGAAAACTAGACAGAAACGTATGAAATTCCATGGAAAATGTTTTGGAGCTGAAAACGGTCGACCGCGGTCCGGGCCAGGGACCAAATCATCGGTTCTTTCGAGAATAAGCTCGGCGCCAAATCCTACCCATAAAGTCGAAAAATCCCCGTCAAAATCCAACTTTTCAGTCTCCGTCATCGGTCTGATTCTTGCCATCATCCTCGGCTACTTCCGATACTATGTTCGCGTTCGAGACGTCAACGCTGCCGCGTCTACACTTCCGATGACGATGTCACCGACGTCAAAGGCTTCTACGTCTTCTAGGCCGCCTGTTTATAAGGTAATTTTGCTCTCTGGAAAGCGTTGGAAAAATGTAATTAAAATCGGGTAAAATTGGCTTAAGATCGGTTAAAATAAGCTGAAAATAATAGCTAGAAATAGTTAAAATTGATTTTTCGAATCCGGGAAGTTTTAAACAATACACGCTCTCCCCAGTTGAAAATTTGGCCTTTAGCCATTTCCAATTATTAATTTCCAATTTAGCCATTTCCGATTATTTTTAGCTTAATTTCAGCTGATTTTCAGCCTTTTTAATGCTAATTTGGACTATTTCTAGACTGTGCTTTGCTCATTTTCGCTAATTTTAAGTTTATTTTCAGCCTATTTTCAGCTAGTTTTTTACTATTTCAGGCTCATTTCCGACCCATTTTAGCCTATTTCTAGCTCATTTTTAACCCATTCCCGACCATTTTAAGCCAATTATCAGCTCATTTCTGACTATTTCCAGCCAATTTTGAGTTCAATTTCAGCAATTTCTATCCCGTTTTTGAAAATTTTCATTTTGTCTTTCGAAATGTCCTGGAACCTTTTTTCATCTGAGAAATTGGCTAAAAACTTTTATTCTCTGTTCATCTGAAGCGAGAAAAGTTGAGTGGCGCCGCCGACAAGAAAAGAACGGCAAAAAGAACATTAGGTAGAGGCGGAAATTCAAAAAGAATAAAGGGAAGAAAAGAAGGTGGTAATTAAGATAAATTGCTACTCTTTTTGTTAGAAAATTGAACATTTGGCTTTCGAGTATGATCAGAATTAGGGAACGGCATTTTTTAACTCTCTTGAAATTTCCCATTTCCAGGTCTGCATCATTGACACGGAATGCGGAATCTCATCCGATCAACACCAACACCATCCACGTCATCACAACTCTCCGCCACCAGCGTACACATCGCCGATGATGCCACGTGTCTACCGAAGCTTACCGCAAACGATGGACGACGATTCGAATACATTTCGGAGCCCATCTGGGAAATGCTAGATTTCAAATAAGCCACACCCCTTTTATCATCCTGTGCTTCCTCCCCATAGTTTTATCATCCCGGTTGCCCCTTGTCACATTGCAATTCTTCTCTAGCTGCTGCTTCATTTCCTGCTCACAGTTGTTTTATCATAATAATTATCATTATTATTGCTTCCCTCCTCTTCCTCCATGTTTTGTCCCCCAAAGGTCCTCGGGGCTCATTTTCTT